GTCCTCCTCCATCTTCCTACCCATCCACCTTCATGTTCTTTCTCTTAAAAAAAAAAAAAATACAAACAGAACCCACAAACAATGGGGACTCCATTTTGTGTTGGTCAGCTACTCCTGATGTTGGGGCCCGTCCTGGAGTGTGAATGATATACCCAGCATCACTCCATTGGGTGATTTTCCCATGCTCCTAGCAGCTATCTTTGAGAAAAGCTCTTTGGTTAGAGGTGGAACTTTGTGCCACTACTTTCCGCCTCTGTGCTGGCTTGAGCCTGTGTGGGTCTTTGCATTCTGTCAGTCTCTGGGAATTCATGTGTGCACCTGTCCTGTTGTGTGTGGAAAACGGTTTCCTTGAATCATCCACTACCCCTGGGCTCTTGCAGTCTCTGTATCCTCTTGTTCACATAATCCCTGAGGCCTGAGGAAAAGGGAGTGATAAAGACATCCCATTTAGGACTGAGTGTTCTGTGTTCTCTTGCCCTCTGCACATTGTCTGGGTGCATGTCTCTGTGTTCATGGCCATCTGCTGCAAAAGAAGCTTCTCTAGTGAGGGTTAAGCTATGCTCTGATCTATGGGTCTAGTACTATGTCATTAGGAGCTGTCTTATTGCTACATTTAACAGAATAATATTGGTAGGTTTTACCTAGATAGATGACCTGTCTATTCTCCGGTTCTTGGCCTTATTAACAGTGTCAAGGTCTGTCTCATGGAGTCGGCTTTAGTCTAATAGAAAAGTTGTTGGTTACTCTCCTAATATCCATGCCACTATTAGACCAATGAGCATATTTTGTAGACAGGTCATTGTTGTAGCTTGCAGGAGTTTTGGATACAACTTCCTTTTTTTAATTGAACTGCTTGTTCAGTTAACTTGCTTATATGTTGATTGGATGATCTATGTTTAGTATTTAGTTTTGAAGTTCCTCATAAATTCTAGATCAAAATATTAAAGGGGAAATTAAGGATCGATAGGACAGGGGAGATATGGATCTGTTGGCAAAGGGCTGTCCTTGAAAGTGTGAGGACATGAATACGACCCTCAGAACCCATGTAAAAAAGCTGAATATGATGGAGCAGGGTTTTAATTATAACACTTGGAAGGCAGAGACAAGAAATCCCCAAGACTTGCTAGCCAGCCTACAAGCAAATTCCAAGCCAGCGAGGGACCCTGCTGGAAAACTGAAGGCTCCTCTGGCTTTCATACATGTATGTCTTCATAAGCATGTGTGTACAGGCACACACACACACACACACACACACACACACATACACACTACATATATATATATTACACATACATATTATAATGTACAATATAGAGAAAACATAATGTATGAAATATATAGCATGGTTATTGATATTATACATAATATGTGTTTTATATATATATATATATATATATATGTATAAATACGCACACTAAACCTCTAATTTTTCTCCCCATAAACATAAACATCCTTGCCCTGATTATGAACACCCAAGGCACTTACCATGTGACATAAGTACAACATGGGGCAGCAGTAGGGATCTGACAGTCAGCCTGGCATTTAAACACACCCGTCTATGTTCCTAAAGGAAGAGTGACTAACCTAGCTCAAACCTTCTTCCGAGCACTGAATCTTGAGATTGGGGCTGAGTGCATCTCTGATGTCACTCAGCCCCAGGGTTCCGTGGGCCTCTGTTTCCATGCCACTCTGATTCTTTGTTCCAAACCACAGAAAAGCCATTTTACAGAGACATTTACAGTCAACTGCCGTGCCCTGCCCTGCCCTACCGTGCGCCTCCTCCAGCTTCCTTGGCCACAGTTACAAGCTGGGAGAAATGGGCGGCCTGATGAAGAAGATGAACCTCAAAAGTGGAGGGGACCCCTTTTTCCTGCGGAAGGCCCTTATGAACAACCTTGGAGAGGAGAAGAGAACCAAGCTTCACATTCAGAAACTACAGAAGGCGTTAAACATCCGCTTCAGGGAGATTGAAAAAGAGAAAACAGCACTGAAGAAATTTTTGGTGAGGCTTCACAAGACAACTGGTTATTTTCCTCAGAGGAAGTTCTGGTGACTGTCACTACTGCAGGGGAAGGATTCATCTAAATCCAAACCATCGAGTCTTGGCTGTCTCCACAGGAAGCAGTAAAAAAGCAACAAGAAGCCAAAAATAAAACTTTAACTGAGGACCTGAATGGGGCATCTTCGAAAGAGTCCACTGGTCTCTCCCACAAACGAGAAGAAGCTTTCACTTTTCCGGGTGATTCTGTTTCTTTTACAGCTCAAAGTGGTAACATGCAATGTGCAATTATTTTTTTTAACAACCTTTCCTTGAGAAAAAAAAAAGCTGAGCTATTTTTAGTTCTTTCTGATGCTTATTAAATATATAAAAATACATATTATGTTTTCCTGGTTCCTGTTTTTTTTTTTTTCTCATTTGACAGCATTTCAATGATGCTTCTATAGATTAAATACTGTGAATAAGTAACAGCTGATGCCAGAATTGAGATGAAAATAATGGAGTAGTGGGAAAAGACGTGACTGTGGGTGTGTAAGAGGAATCATTTTAAATCTAGATGTGGCGAATGTTGCCCATGTGACCCTGCACTCAGAAACTGGTTTATTCAAGATGAAGATAACAAAGATCATTTTGATGATGCATATAAGTCATTGCCTTCCTCACCACTATTCCAGTCACTGTTGCAGAACCAGGGGCCGTTCCTACCTCCTTTGCTAGTCTCATTATCTCAGCAAAGTCCCTATCCAGTTTGTTTTTCCAAAGCTTTAATGTGAGACGGGACCAGGTAACTTCCAAGCTTTAAGTTCTTTGGCACTGAGGTTCCATGGCTTTATTTTAAAATGTTTTTGCAGAGTACTAGAGAAAAGACACAACAGTCAGAATCCATACAAGGGAAATATCCAGGGCTTGGACATACATTTGCATGGAGCATGACTGTCTCCCACCTTCACAGCCTTGGCATTTATCATGTGGTTTTTCAAGAAAACATAATCCAGCCTTCAAACGCCTAGCCTGAGCTAGCTGCAGGCCTTACTTGTTTAGCCTTTGCTGTCAAATAGATCTGGAGTCCTGATCAAATTGCACACACACACACAAAATTCCATTTGATAAGAGGCAAGTTTTACTAATATATATTTAACAAACATTTATATATAGTAACTTAGATTTTTCCAACTGTGAACTGGGAATAATTGTGTGTGTGTGTGTGTGTGTGTGTGTGTGTGTGTGCGTGTGCGTGTGCGTGTGCGTGAGAGAGAGAGAGGGAGAGAGAGAGAGAGAATGCATGTGTGGCCATGTTTATGAGGGTTTGTGTGTAAGAGCCTGTGCCTGTGAATAGAGGCAGAGGTTCATCTTGAGTGTCTTCCTTGATTGGTCTTCATTTAATTTTTTTAAAATTTCATGTATGAGTACTATATTTTCATAATTTTACCTTCTTGGCCCTTCCTCCAATACCTCCCAAATCCCACCCACTCCTTCTTATTGGGCCACTTAATAAATCTACAATACAGTCGCTACACTGAAGCCTCAGGGAATATGGCAGAAAAAAATGTGTATATTTTGAAACAGAATCTATGTATCGCTGCCCCTAACCTGGACCTCACCAAGTAGACCAGACTGGCCTTGAGCTCACAAAGATCCAGCATCCTCAATACTGAAACTTAAGGTTTGTGCTACCACACTTTAATTATACATATGCATGTATGTATTATGTTACATATGTATGTATGAAGTTCATGAAGACAATATGTCAAGGTCATTTTATGCTACTCATATGTGTTTAGGGCTCATATGTGTTTATGGCTGTCATCTTGGGAATGGCTAACCTCTCAGTGGGCTGGCTAGTCCATGGAGAAGCCTGATTCTCTTTCTCAAAGCAACCATCAGTTTCCTGTAGCTGTTCTTTAGGGGAGAAGAGTCATGAGAACTCACCCATGCCATGCATGTTGGCATGAATATTGGTATTGTCATTTTAAGGTCTTGTTTAGGCAACCATTTTATTGAGACTTCTTGAGTGTAGCTCCCTTGTCACATGTGGAAAACATTGTACAGCAACAGAAACCCAATTGGGGTTCTCTGGCTCTTAAAATCCCTCCCCCCCACCCCCTTACTGTACCTTGAGGCTTAGGTGTAGTAATTGTGAGGTAGATGTATCAAGTGGGCAACTCATTCAGCAGATCTCTGCATTTTGGCCATTTGTAGCTTTCTAGAATGGTTTGCATCTGCTGTGAAAGTTAGTTCTTTGGTGAGGATTGAGTGCTAGCTACACTTAGTGTGGGCTTAGGGGTAAATATTTAGAATGCAGTTAGAAATTACACTGGTTTGGTGAGGTGGCAGTAGTTGGTTCTTTTGAGGGCCTATGGCCTTACTAGCGTGGGTAGTGGGCATGAATTCCTTCCATTGAGTGGGCCTTCAGTCCAATTAGATAGCTGTTGGTTATCTTAGGCTAACTACTATTTCATGTTTTGGGATATCTTGCCATTGCAGTCACTGTTTTGTTAGTAGGTGTTACAAATAGTAAGACTATGCATTGCTTTTCACCTTTGGCAGCATTCATAGCTTCTTCCAGTACTGCAAGAGCTGGTCCTCAGGAAGAAGAGACTTTTAGGTTGGTTCCAGCTTTACTCCTCCAAGTCCTTCTCTAAGATGTGTAGTATTTTTAGCAATAGGGGCTTACCTTTTATGTCTGGGGGCAACCAAGGGCAATGGAAATAGCTTATATTGTTTTGGGAGTCCCTGACCAAAACCCCAAAGGAGGTTTCTCATGCCTGGTTTTAGTCTACAGCTCTTAGAAATCATTGTCATCCCAACTGTAGTAACTTCATTTAAATTACACACACACACACACACACACACACACACACACACAAACACACACACCCTCATGGTCACACATAGTCACACACACTAATGCACACACCCACAGACATACACTCACACACATACTTGTATATACTCACATGCACACACACACACGTGCATGTATGGGTGTGTAATTTCTTTACCATGTCTCTCCATTCACAATACAGATCAGGCACAATGGCCTAGGCTGAGGTGTACCACAAGGAGGCCTGTATGAGTAATTTTAAGTAGATATAAAATAATATGACTCCTTGTAGCTTTTTCAGACATCCTTAATATATTTATCCCCCCTTCCTCCCTCTTCCTCCATGTTGAGTCTCCTCCTATATTCCTCCCTTCATTGTACCCATGTCTCACTATTCCCCTTGCTAGAGGTCCATGCTGTGGTCCCTTTCTGTTTTCCTGGTGTTTGCTGTTACTCCAGGTGACATACTCTAAAGGTTTGGACCTAGGATCCACATTGAGAACATACAGAGATTGTCTTTTTGGGTCGGGGTCACCTCAGAATTGTATGCTATGGTTCCATAACATACCAGAAGTGTTCAGCATTCTTAGCAACAAGGGAAATGCAAATTAAAATTACTTTGAGATTTCAGTTTGCCCCAGTCAGCATGGCTAAGGTCAAGAAAAGAGCTGACAGTAAATGTTGGGGAAGGGGTGGGAGGTGAGGAACCCTCATTTACTCTTGGCGGAGTTGCAAACCGTGCGGCCACTAGGGAAATTAGTGTTGAGAGTTGGCAGAAAGCTAAGAAATAAATGTGCCGTGTGACCCAGCTCTGCCACTCCTTCCCGTGTGTCTGCAGACTCAACATCCTACTCCACAGACACATGCTCAGCCATGTTCACTGATACTGCTTACGGTAGCTAGAAAAGGCAACCTGGATATCCTTAAAATGATGAATGGGCAGTGAAAATGTTGGGCATATACATGGTAGAATTCTATTCAGCTGTAAAACAAGAAATCATCTTAATTCTGAGGCAGGGCCTCTCACTGAACCCGGAGCTCACCCTTTCAGATAGACCATCTGGCTAGCAAGCCCCAGAGATACCCCACCTCCACGGCTCTGGATTACAGGTGTGTTCCCACGCACAGCCAAGCTGTCTTCTGGGAGGAAACTCAATTCCACATGCTGGCATGGCAAGCACTTTACTGGCCAAGTTTCTTCCCAGCTCCTTGAAACAGTAGTTTATTAGTTCAGAAGGTTGTTGGAATGTCTTCCTGTGATGTCATATGTCAATCTATCAGTACAGCTTGTAACGCTGTGGGCTCTTGTATGTAATGACATGCTGTCACAAACCTAGATGCCCTACTGTCTGTTCTTAGGAATGCCTGACTTTGTAGAGCATCTCAGCATACAGGTGTCATTACTTTTGGTTCTTGGCTACAATGCCTGCTGCTTTATATCTCAGTCTCCAGAATGGCAATGTGTCAGCATCCAAAACATGTTGAATACGATATAGATATATATATAAAGATAAACATAAATGTAATGCGAGTGTGAAGGTTCTGAGGTAGATCTGTTTGCAAACCATGTTCTGAGATCCTCAGAACTGGGACACTCACATAGGGAGCCCCGGTTCAGCCAGGCACGTGAGTCCCTAGATCAGAGGTTGGAAGAGCAGCAGCAGCTTGGCTTCTTATAGCCCAGGGTTTATCTGTTGTTAGCAGATTAGCATACACTAAATAAACAGAAAATATGTTTTGTCTGCTTTGTATCAACTGATTTTAAGCTAAGAGCCTCTCCTCAGCTTTTTCAGAAGTACATAACATTGCGGCCAATATTCAGGGGCCATTGTTGATGGGCGATGTCATTCTATAAATATGTTTCTCATACTGGTTAATGAATAAAGCATTGTTGGCCAATAGGAAAGCAAGATAGGTGGGACTAGGAGATAAGGAGGATTCAAGGAAGGAGTAAGGAGGAATCAACATGGAGAGACTGGAGAGAGTGAACGCCAGCCTCTCTCTCAGGTAAGATTAGACCACGTGGAAATACTTAGATTAATAGAAATGGGTTAATAATTAAGACAGAACTAGCCAATAAGAAACAAGTACCTGGCCAACAGCATTATATCAAATACAGCGTGTCTGTGTGTTAATTGGTGCTGGTGCGGCTCTGGGCCCAGGTTGGCAGGAAAAACTTTACTCGTTACACATAGTAGATTTACTTATGTAATAACCCACTCCCATGCTAACTTGTAATATACATCGTAGGCTATTTTCTGATGCCCAGGTTTAAAGCCAATGCTAAAAACACTTTGAAAACTTATAATTTTACAGTTTACAAGCTAGGGTTTGCTTTCAGTGGTGGTAGTATGGGGTTTTTTGTTGGGGTTGGAGTTGAGATATCTCATCTTGCAACCAGGCTGGCTTGCAACTCATATATATTATAGCTCAGGCTGGCCCCTCATTTATGACATTCCTTCTGACTCCATCTCCTGGTTTTACAGATGTAAGCCACCATTCCCAATACAAGACAGACTTTCAAAGCCTGTTTGAACTATTTGGCCTACTTCGTAGGAAAAAGCCAGGAGAATATGATAAAATACTCTTATGTGAGTCTGAGGCCCTTCAAAAACACATTCTTAGCTATTGGTAAAACTCAGGGCCAGGACTGGATGGATTGTTCAGTGGTTAATAACACCTGTTGTTCTTCCAGAGAACCCAAGTTCCCATTCATGTCAGGCAGCTCACAACCATCTGTAACTCTAGCTGCAGTGGATCTGATGCCTCTGACCTACACAAGCACCTAAACTTGTGATTATATACCCATATGTGTATACACATACACACACACACACACACACACTTAAAATATTAATATCAACAATAATTTCTTTAAATATTAGGACAAAATATAGTAAGATATGTCAACAGGTACATAGCTAATTAGCAAATGCTAGTACTCATCATTTGAAACCATGATCCCTGGAGTACACAAAGGTTCCATGCAAAGTCCCAGCCTTTGTATGTAGGTAACATACCTTGCATGTGGGTTCAGGGAAACATGGATATGGGTGTGTGTGGTGCTGTTCGCCATTGTGTGGTGAATCATATGCACACTGAGCTTGCTGTCCTACAAGTGAGTGACTCCTGAAAGCAAGTGCTGCTGGAGAGACTGTGCACTGCGGCGGGTTGGCTCTCGTGGAGTTGATGTGTGTGAACTGTTAGAGTGGAGTTCGTCTGCTTGGTAAAATCCCACTGGAATTTCAAACAAAAAATGAATACAGAAAATGCTGTCCAGGGTTAGATGGGTGAAACCTCGAGCTAAGTAAGTGAGGCTGTTTGATTCTCACTCCGGACCCCGGGGCTGCCCTTGCCACCTGTATTCTCGGTGTCCCCGTGAAGGTAAATGCATGGAGCAGTGCAGTTCTAAGTGGTAGGAATCAGAGCATGTGATATTTTAGTGACTGTTATCGGCCTCTAGGGCACCTCAATTGGTTACAGGCTCAGCCTCCTATTTCCCACATATTTGTGTGAGGTGTGTCTTACGTTTGATGGAGCACTGTCTCTGTTGAATGTCTAGCTTTCTCTGGGTGAGGGAAGGATGGCCAATGGAGAGCTATGGGTATCCAGTGAAGACTGACTTGTCATGGTGTGCTGAGCATTTGTATAGTCCTTGCTTACATTGGGATGTGTTGGTGATTGAGTCTTTGTTACCTGCCACTAGCTAGAAGTATTGGTGAGATTTTATGGGCATTGGGATAGGATTTTGCAGATAACCTCTGCATTTGTTAAAAAAAAAAAAAAGTAATTTAGTTGTGTACCAAATTGGATCCTTGACTATAAGACATTCACACATGGGTTCCCCATAGGGAAGACAAGTTATTTAAAAAAAGATGGAAATTGCCAAATTTGTAACATAATAATGGCTAGCTGTTACAGTGTAACATGGCTACTGCCTTGTAAGGCTATCTGTCCTCACAGTCAGGCTTATAGCCATAACGCTCCAGGGCTAGCCCTGCAGAGGATGCTTTCATCACTATACCAATACATTTCTCTCTAGGTCAGCTTTGCCACTGACCTTTGATTATTGTCTATCTTCTGTGAGGTAGGTGTGTGTGTGTGTGTGTGTGTGTGTGTGTGTGTGTGTGTGTGTAAGATCCTATAAGAGGGGCAATTTCTCGTATGTAGGAAAGGGCAGAGTAACACAGTAGAGACTAAAGTTGGAGGTCACATATGGCCAGCAGAGGGAAGCTGACTATTCTGATAGGGTGGGGGCACTGTCCATCTGGCGATGGTTTATTGCACATCTGTAATGGAGCACCTGTGTGAGGGTAGCACCTGAGGATACCTCTCCACATAGCATTGGTCAGAGAGCTGCTGGTCCTACAAGATGAGTCGACATACAAGGCCTCAGAGTCTAAGTCCATATCAGGGCCCAGGAACTTTTCTGGGAGGAAGAAGAGAAAGGGGGCAATGCAGGTGGCCACTTGGCTGTGGGAGGCAACACCAGAGCTCTTTGTCCATGAAAACTGTATGTGGTTTCCAGCATGATTACTAGAAATCACAGAATCACAGTATTGATGTTGGAGGTCCCCTAATTTATCATCAATTGAAAGGTGGTGCAGCCAAACTGTGGTTGCACATTATCCAGACAGTGTCCAGAGTCAAGACTTTTAAAATCTCATTCCATTTGCCGTTGGTAGTCTTCCATTATTTTGTGATAGTATCTGATAGTACCTGCTATATCTGCAACTTTCAGAGTCAGATCAAGGCTCATGGTTGTGAAGGCTATGCCGTGGTTTTGATGTGGTTTGAGGATCGCTCCCAAAGGCGCATGTGCTAGAATCGGTCTCCTGCACAGCAGTGTTGAGGTGGTGATGACTTGGTGGGTCTAGAAGAAGAGATGGGGCTATATTTAGAGACCTGATGCTCCTGAATGAGAGTGGTCTCAAGGGAGTGGGCATCACTCAGGAGACTGGATTGATCCCAAGAGGGCAGATGCTTATAAAACAAATTCAGCTTTCTTACTTACTCTCTTTTTCTTTCTTTTTTTGTTTTAAATTTAATTTATTATTTTACATGTTGATCCCAGTTCCCTCTCCCTGCCTCCCTCCCTCTTACGCTCTCTGCCCCCTCACATGCACCCTGACCACCCTCCCTTCCCATCCCCCACCCCAATTCCACATGTAGGGCAATGCCATCCAGGTGGGGTCATGTAAATCTGTCAAGTCATTTGAGGTAGGGACTAGGACTTCTCTCCTGTCTCTAGGTTAAGACAGTATCCCTCCATGGGGGATGTGATCG